ATCCAAAGCACACCACATCTTCTATAAAACATGGTGGAGTGTGGCAGTGTGATGGCATGGGCATGCATGGCTTCCAACGGCACTGGGTCACTACAGAAGACAGAAGCAGCCGGATGAATTCTGAAGTGTATAGAGATATACACTGCCTGTCCAAAAAAAAAGTCACCACCTAGATAAACTAAAACAATTAGTAAGAGCCTTCCATTGGATAATTACTGCAGTGATCAATATGTATATAAGTTATTTAACCCTAGCTGATGCGGTGAGTAGCTTCTCATTTCTTAAACAACCATGTTGGAAGACATATCCTGTGATCGTGGAAAGGATGTTAATCAGTTTCAGAAGGGTCAAATTATTGTTATTATATTAACTTTGATGAAACTACTAAAATCGGGTTAACAACTGTCCAGCGCATTATTAAAAACCTGGAAAGATAGTGGTGAACCATTCTCTTCGAGGAAGAAATGTGGTCGGAAAAAACTCTTGAATGATTGTGACCGGCGATCGCTTAGACGTTTGGTGAAATCATATCGGAAGAAATCAACAGTAGAACTCACAATAGTAAAAGTAAGAGCATTTCCACACGCACAATGCGTAGGGAACTCAAGGGATTGGGACTAAACAACTGTGTAGCCATAAGAAAACCACTGATCAGTGAGGCTAATCGGAAAGAAAGGCTTCAATTTGCTAGGGAGCATAAAGATTGGACTTTGGAGCAATGGAAGAAGGTCATGTGGTCTGATGAATCCAGATTTACCCTGTTTCAGGATGATGGGCGCATCAGGGTAAGAAGAGAGGAGAATGAAGTGATGCACCCATCATGCCTAGTGCCTACCGTACAAGCCTGTGGGGGCAGTGTTATGATCTGGGGTTGCTGCAGTTGGTCAGGTCTAGGTTCAGCAACGTTATGTCCCCAAAGAATGAGGTCAGCTGACTACCTGAATATACTGAATGACCAGGTCTTTCCATAAATGGAGTTTTTCTTCCCTGATTGCACGAGCATATTCCAGGATGACAATTATTAATTAAATAATAAGCAATAAAGAAAATACTGAGAGGATCCCCGTTCAAAAGTTTGCATACCCTTACATCTTAATACTGTGTATTGCCCCCTTTAGCATCAATGACAGCTTGCAGTCTTTTGTGATAGTTGTGGATGAGGCCCTTTATTTTCTCAGGTGCAGTAAAGGCTTTTTCTGGCGACTTTACCATGCAACCCATTTTTTTGTTTAAGTACCTTATTGTACATCTTGAAACAGCCACACCACTTTTTTTCAGAGAAGCCTGTATTTCAGCAGAAGTTGCTTGTGGGTTTTTCTTTGCATACTGACACATTTTCCTTGCAGTTGTGGCTGAAATCTTTGTTGGTCTACCTGGCATTGTCTTGGTGTCAACAGAACCCCTAATTTTCCGCTTCTTCATCAGAGTTTGAACACTACTGATTATCATTTTTATAAATGA